AATCGGGATCGTCTTGTTTAGAATTTAAATGTCTTATTCAAAAGACGTTAAGGACTAAAGCTCTTTATAAATGAAGTAAGTTATTCACCAGACAGTGGGGTGTATATTAAGTTGTGGGAGACTCATTGGTAGATGAACTTCACAACACCATAGGAAACCTCAGTATGGTCTATACTAGTCACGTTATGTTGTTTACCAGACCCCGTGTGCTATATACTAGACATGTGTGTTATAAACCAGGCCTGTATGTTATATACTAGATCTGTGTCTTATATACTAGACCTCTATGTTATATACTAGACCTTTATGTTATATACCAGACCCTGTGTGCTATATACTAGACATGTGTGTTATAAACTAGGCCTGTATGTTATATACTAGATCTGTATCTTATATACTAGACCTTTATGTTATATACCAGACCCTGTGTGCTATATACTAGACATGTGTGTTATAAACCAGGCCTGTATGTTATATACTAGATCTGTATCTTATATATTAGACCTTTATTCTGTATCTTATTCACTATACCCTGTATGTTATATACTAGACATGTACGTTATATACTAGACATGTATGGTATATACTAGACCCCGTATGTTTTCACTATACCCTGTATGTTATATACTAGACTTGAATGTTATATACTAGACCTGTATGTTATATACTAGATCTGTATGTAATATACTAGACATGTATGCTACATTGTATACACAATACCCCGTATGTTACATGTATTTATCACATACCTGTTGAATCTTATTATAGTAATACAAGCAATTTCCAGACCATGAAATACAACGTTCTGTATTGCACATGTGCAGCCGGAATAACTTTTTGGTGGAATCCCCTTGTCATGGCCAACTGAAAAGTTCCCGGTATTTTCAAAAAAAAATCAAAGTTTGTAAAATCTTTGTATCGATCTCTACCAAATACGGAAGGTATGTGATAAAAGCAAGACCACACACTTGTGTTTTTCTAACGAATCAGAAAGTACTCATTTATTGCGAGAACGTATATATTCACTGTGCGCTCCGCGCACTCGTGAATACTTTCTGATTCGTTAGAAAAACACAAGTGTGTGGTCTTGCATATATTCTATACCATGTATGTTATATACAATGTACTAGACACAGTATGTTATAAGACTCCGTATGATACAAATGTATATACATGTTCTATATACTGTACAATATACACTAGACTGTGTTATATCTCAGACCTCGTATGATAAATATTATATCATATACAATATACACTAGACCCTGTCTATTAGATGAAACACATTTCCCCCACATTCTCTGTGTTAGGTTACATTTTCACGTCCAGGTCAGTGGTTTGATATTGACTTGGTATTACCATTTTTTAGAAACAGCAGGTTAATGTTCACTTCATGACGACATTTCAATTGTAACGTCATAATGCTCTCTGCTAAATGTAGTACTTTCCTCCGTTTAATTTATATACATTTTGTACGTTCCAACTTGTTTAATGATAAAAGCATTATTAAGCATCTAATTTAACAATTAAGGACTTTTATTTCGGTGAATATGTCGCTATATGGACATGAGAAAGAGATATTAACCGAGGCAAAGTCGAAGTCAATATCACTTTCTCATGTTCATGTAACCACATATTCACCTCAATAATAGTCTATAATGTATTAGACCCTATATGTTACATACTAGGCATGTATGCTATTCCCGAGACCCTGTTTGTTGTATACTAGATCCAATAAATAGATGTATGATATTAACGTATCATATCCGATGATATTCGTTAACAAAATATAATGACCACATTTTATCATTGTTATCAACCTTATGGTATCTCAATATCAGATCTAATACTACATATGTTTTATAATTGGTTTACTTAGTGATTCGGTAGAGACAATCAAAAGTAAATCGCTGTTACTGTGAAGAAGTTTAAAATTTCGATAATCATTTTTGTATTAAAATTGAGCCTGATGTAGTGGCCGAGTGATGATCGAGTTACCAGCTTATAACCCACAGCCATTGTACGGCGCCATATTGAATTACACCAGATAGCATTCAGTGAGTTACCGATATATCAAAAAATCATTTACATGAGTCAGAACATTATTTTATACCAATCAAATTATGAAATTTAATCCAATATTTTTAACGATCCAATGAGTGTATGTATTATCAGGGTGGTCGGGTGGTGCAGGGTGGTCGGGTGGTGCAGTGGATAGCGCACTTGCCTTTCACCAAGGCGGCCGGGGTTCGATTCCCCGATCGGACGTGAAAAGGTTGGGGTCACCTGCCCGACCACGTGGGTTTTCTCCGGGCACTCCGGTTTCCTCCCACACTAAGACTTTAATCAATCTCTAAGGCGAGGACAGCTTGAACCTAGATAAAGTTCTTGTTCTCAGATGTAACGTTTTATCATCAAACCAATTTTTAAGAGGTTCGAATCCATACAACACATATACATGGAGTTGCTGTATAAATCCTTTTATGTGACTTTAATTGTGGTCAAACAATTACTAAAGGTTTAACATTAACGTAACGCTGTTCTCCAACTTAAACCCGTCGGATGTCAGTCGTTCGTTCAAGCGTGCCATTTGCGGCAGGTTCCGGTATGAACAATGTGTCTACATGACCACATTTCCTGTGTAAAAGGTGTACTTAGCCAGTTAACGCTAGTCAATATTAGCCGATACAGTGGTCGCTCGCCCATGTAATTCCATAGTAATACCTAATGGACGCGCTGTGTCATTCAAATGGTTCCTTCTCCACAAATATATACCGAGTATTGTACTTAACAAATTAACATATCTATTCCCCGTAGTGGTTTGTTTGTCAAACGAGGCGTTCTGAAGCTTTAACCGATATGGGGTGTCTTCCAGTCAATAGTTGGCAGGCAAATTTGTGACATGTGTAGTGTAGCTAGGCACATCAACGATCGGGAAACATAATGGTTCGGTTTAAATACTGGATTAGGTGTCAAAATATCGTAAAGGATATTCTTATTACGGCATCTACAGTTCAAAATATTGTGCCAAGCATCCTTGGAATCAAAAAACATTATCTGTCTTGGGTAGGATTGGTGCGCCTACTAAGGAAATCTGAGACAAGTAATTTATCTTACCTATAAGAAAAGGATTATTTTTAAATAGAAGCGGAGAGTTTTGAGTGTCGCTTTTGTCGAGGTTTCTATTGTGTCACCAGTAATACTACACCCATTCAATGTGCAACGGGTAATTGCTTGATATTTCCAACTTTCAATTTGATACATGTACATGTCATCTGATTCCGTAAATCGATGAAAGTATATTGGTGTAGTGACAACATCATATATTGACATACATTAGTGTGATGGTAATATTGTAGTGACGACAACATCATTGTAATCCATGTGATGACATACATCATTACTAGGATTGCTATTAATGATTCGATGGCGTGGAGGACAACGGGATAGTGGTGGAATATATATACCTCACTGAAATTAAATGACAATCAAAATAAAATAGGTCGTTTGTTATAGTAGATATACTCTAAAAAGCTGACTATTCCGTGCGTGCTTCCTTTCAATGGGAGGCACTTTGCACATCAGGACAGCATAGACAACACGAGGTCATCAACTGGAACGGACTGATCAGCTCAGTGCCATGCATGATTGGCCAAACCCTATACACCAAGTTCTCCGTTGTATAGCTATAGGTAGATTACACTAATCCACGAGTACGTGAATACACTGTACATAACGTGTAAGTTCTTACTATTACAGGGATTAAAATAACGGGCCAACGATGACAGTTCGAAAAAGAATTAAAACTGCCAATACCTCATCTTTTGAATCGTACTGTACGTTTTTATATTATGAGTGTACGCGTTTTCCATCTATAAGCAGAGAATGGAGTGTTCGGGTGTTTATTACTCATTAAACATATAGCTAACTACACATGGGACTGAACAACATTTCCTCGCTAGACCTGCCATTTTGACGAGGAAGCCATCATGAAATAAAACAAGGTTAAGATTTACAGTGTCCCTCATCGCGTCAAACAGACACAGACAATGAGAAAGAAAGGTTGACGTTAGCGGAGGAAAGGTTTGAACTAGCTAAGGAAAGGTTGGAGCCAGAAGAGGAGGGCTAGAGCTAGCGGAGGAAAGGTTTAGGGAAGGAAAGGTTTGAACTAGCTAAGGAATGATTGGAGCCAAAGGAGGAAGGTAGATGCCAGAGGAAGAAGGTAGAAGCTAGCAGAGGAAGGTTGGAGGTGGCGCAAAAGAACCGCTACATATGCCTGTGAAAAGAGCAATCTTGGGCATCTACCGGAGCAGTGAATGTATCTGCGATCATATTTGTAACTTACGCGGAACATGGAAACAATAGATCACAGGACGGCTTACCGAGTGCCTTCGTTTAGTAACTTAATATCATGGCACAGATACAGGACTTCAGTTAATCAAATTACATACAAATGTACTTGGTCAGATTGGAGGTGAGTTCTGATACACATTGGGTCGATTATTAATTAGCAAAATGAGTGTCTTAATGAAGGAAACACTAATCTTACATACAAATGTCGCGCTGGATATCTACTCGACAGACAATTCAAACCCATTTTAGACATGCACGGATCCCGATGATCTCTGTGATAACTGGATCTTTAAAACGAATCGAAGTCGGGTTATTTAAAAACACATGTTCAACAATGTAAAGGAATATATTGGAAATATACCAGTAACACATTTGACATACACGAACAAAACCGAATAGTTTAGTGAATTTACTAACACAGGTGTCCTTCTAATTTAAAACCGTCCTCTATTTAGTTTTATCTGACTTGACAGAATACACCTATTTCCATTGGAGTGTGAAAATCTAACCACTGCATATATACCGACTAACACCGTCATATATGTACATATTTAAGAAACACTTGAACGAAAAAACAGATAAAACATTAAAAATTGATATTCGCTTATAAATTTGAATAAAAAGTTTTTAGAAATGAATTGTCTTACCTGGTTTTGTATAGGTGTAATTTCCCCTGTTTGTCAGGTGTTAGCGACACAACGGTAGCTATAGAGGGCTGATCCAGGTAAGGTCTAATTCACGGAGACGCTCGAACAGCATGGCGACGGGTAACCAAGGACGCTAAGGCCACGGACTTAGTCAATAGTCGACTGATTAATAGAGCCTATTGGAACAATATATACCGGCCCACGATTAGTGTGTTAATCTCATAGGACGAATGCTGTGTGTGCCGGAATCTACTGTGTGTTTAAAACTATTGCACCCCTTCAAAGTGTAATATACGGTACAGATATCGTTAACCGAAATTGATTTTAAATGTTTGAGCGTTTAAGTTGAGCAATCCGTTACGTTTATCCCCGTTATGTTCGATCGCGTAACATGTTATCGGAGGTACTTAAGCACAATCTTAAGTTGCTAACGAAGAAAATATGCACTCCTAGACGGCAACGTGGAAAAAACAGTCAGTTACTTAATATATCTTCCGTTTACTTTTTCAACTGTAGACTTAGCACCTCGGAATAACCTGTCGCTTGACATTACTGCATTGACTTAAAACATTCTTTTCAACGTCTGACAATTTTATGGCAGGACACCCATTACAGAAAACTTGCTCCCGGATTTTTACTGCATTGGAAATGAAAAAAGATTAATAGACGTGTCGCGTGGTGGCTTTAATTGGGAAATTGAAAAAGTTATTTTAGAGTAAACGGTTTACATTTGGATATAGACACAATTATATTGGATAAATGGAGCTTATGCAAATAATCTCACCATTGACACTGGGGCCGTAAAGATTTTTAAACGTTTCCCCCAAACACAGAAGACATGACCACACCAAGACCAGCTGTACCTATCTGATGACACACAGCTTAAGTTTTAAAACGATTTCTTTTCCAGAAAATTACCTCAAATTCAAATATTTTTACTCCTTCTTTCCAGAAAAAGATTTTGTAGAAAACATGAGTGTGTCAATGCATGTACATTGTATTCTACAGAACTGTGTTTAATTGTAGCGGTAAGAACGTCTCTCGGTTAAAGTTTAACACGGCAATTATAACGGAAACGAATCCTAGATGAGCGTTTTAGCTGGTAATTCTGACGGAAAAAGATTAGATTACCATTTTACCCCGATAAGAACGTATACCTTATCACCTTTTTACTCAGTAATTCTGACAGATAAGAAAAATCTTTCATAACCAATTTACCTGGAAATTGTGATTGACAAGAATGTACACAAGGTTACCGTTTTACGCAGTTGTTTTATTATCATAATAAGAGTTATATACTCTATATGTAAATATTTACGTACTGATATTTGCAATTTAAAAATGAATGTGTACCCCACATCTGTCCACATTAGGGCCCGTATTCATGAAACGATTTTCATGCTCAAACTCATGCCCACATTTTGTGCTAAGCCAGACTTTTTGTTCTGGTGAGAAAAACGTTTTTGTATCAATGATTTGTAAGAATTTTGGAGACACCTCAACCTGATGACTGTTTTAAATGTTGATCATTTTTTTTCACCGTCACGCGTGATTTGAACGAGTTGCAAGAAATAGTTTGAGCACAGAATCCATGCTTGAGCTCATGAATACGTGTCCTGGTATATGTATCGAACCGAATCTTGAACATACCAAAGACTTGTCCATCATACTTGCTCGTGCATTTATAGCAAATATAAACACAGTATTGCTATAGTATAATTAAATACAATACCAGAATTAGTTAAGTACTGTGTCGTAATGAATATAGTCTCTAGAAATTAATTTAAAAATATATTACTCATACATGTAGAATGTTAAACAAGAATGTTGTGTATGAACGAATCCATATGAGGTATCTTTTGCTTTTTTTTGGTGTATGCAAAAACGGTTGAAGATACACTTGACTAACCAATATTTAAGAAATAATCAACATATATGCGTGTATTATGGAGGAATATATAACGAGGGTGAAAAAATGTTGGTAATAATAATTAACGAAGGCCACTTCGGTTCGGCCTGAGTTAATTATTTTTCCAATATTTTAGAATCCCGGCCTTCGTTTATTTATTTTTACCAACATTTTTTCACCCTCGTTATATATTCCACCATAATGCACGCACATAAGTTGATTATTTTTATTCTACCACGTCAAATGTAACTTATTGTAAAGTTTTTGCTGTCTTATAAGACGACATGACCTAGATAATTCGATATGCAAATTAGACGCTGTAATTTGCGCGTGCAAGATTTATCACGTGATCGTCATGCCTCGTTTTAACTTGATCAATGTCGCGCCAACATTTCTCAGTGCGTAGGGTTGGGATTCCCTGATTGTGTTTACTTCTAAAACCATCATCATCGTACCGATACCATGCGGATTTTCTTGGAAGTGCCAGTGATACAACCTCATACGATAGGCCTGACATGAGTTGGCATATTTAGTTGGTTGCCATGACGTGATGGAAAGTCGCTGACCGGCTGATCATGACGCGACCTTCACCTTCACCGACTTCACCGGACAGCTGTGTTTTGCAACCACTGTTCAGACCGATGCTACTCTTTGCAACATTACTCTTCATACACGGTATGTACACTGTAGGCGAATGTTCGACATCACTTTGATTTTTTGAAAGCAGACGACGTTTTGCAGACCAGAAACAACTGAACACGTTTGACGTCAGATACATGTACGATGTTTATTTCAATCAATCAAACATTGGCATGCTATCCACATCGTTCGTCAAAACATGAAATCAACGCTTGACAGTACATACACACACTGCACACATCGTGAAATGTACGGCACTACCCAGTGAAGTAAAAACAGAAGTAATTGATAATTTACCATTTTGTCTTCAGACCTGTACATTTTAAATGTCAATAATTAAAAAACCAATTTCATTGCACTGACCCACATACTTTAGGTCTATAGATCCGCGTAATCTTTTGTATGTGAGGCCTGTCAAATATTTTGATCCCGCCTGACAGTTATGCTTTTTTGTTAATTCATGACAAAATACGGGGAGGTTGTTGGAACAGCATGCGTGCGCACTATTTCACGTACATCGGTTATTGGCACGCGCATGGTATATCGCTCAATAATGCACTCTTTTTAACCAATGAAAACCGTCGTTACATCACAGACGTGGTAGAATTAAACGTAGTGCATGTATTGGTACGATTTATAGCCACATTATTGTATATACGACTGACAATACATACACACCGTGTGTGGACGCCACGACGTTTGTGTAATCTGTACACATTGATTGTTGTTCACAAACAAATCCACGTGTGAAAAGGTACACACAAGGTGTTTACGTATTATATTTGTGGCTAATCAAACTTTGTGCAAACAAAAGGTGATCCTTTCTACTATCGGCAGTTCCGGCGAATTACGGAATTTAACACAGTTTTTGGATGAGCAAGGCTCAAATCGTGGTCAACTTATGTATATTTATTATTACTGTGTAATCAACTATCAACTACTAAAGGGAGTTGAGAAGAAAGGAAAACTGAACACCAATAAACAGTTATATGTATGAGTTTCTTTGATTTATATATAAGCGTATACCTGTCTATACTATATTAGTAAGGTATAGACTTGGTGACATCCTAGACACGGCTATTTTATTATGTTCATTAAATATGAATGGCATGAGCTTGCGCGCCGTTATAAATGAAGATTGGAACTATTGTCACGGCACGATTGATCTGGAATCAAATTACTGTCACATCGATTAGCAGGATATTGATGTTTGCGTATCCTTGTCAACATACGGGCACTTCATATACTACAGAGAAATGTGTCAGTCATTCGTCCTTACTAGCTATACCTTGTAAGTCTTGACCCGAAATCAACAGAATGACAAAAGTCTCAGCCCAGGGGTCATATTATTGACTGTCAAACTCGGGGCTTGCTTCAAGCCAAGGGTTAAACTTTCAAGAATATGTCCCTGACAGTTGAGCTTTCTCTGTTGATAACCCTTACTGTAGGAAACATTTTTTTCGAATACTAGCACTTATATTTTCCAAAATAATCATAATCAGCATTTAAACGTCCTCAGATTTTTACTGTAAATGTGACTGCACATACGACGTACTCCATCCCGTCGACAGCTTATGACGTCAAATTCTATTGTTCCCGTAACGTCATCTTATTGTTTGTTTCTGGTGTTTTATGGTGCCAAGCAGCCAGAGAGCGCACGCGAATGTCAGGAGGAATCCTGGTCCTTGTCAGTTATACCTTGTTCCTCATTAGTTATACTTTGGTCATTACTATAGCCATATCCTGGTCCTTATCTGTTATACATCGGTCCTTACCAGTTATACTTTGGTCCTTACTAGCTATATCCTGGTCCTTACTAGTTTTAAATCGGTCCTTAACAGTTATACCTTGCTCCTTACTAATTATATCCTTGCTGGTCTTTAACTGTTATACCTTGGTCCTTACCAGTTTTACCTTGGTCCTAACTAGCTATATCCTGGTCCTTATCAGTTATACCTTAGTCCTTATTAATTATATCCTGGTCCTTACCTGTTATACCTTGGTCCTTACCAGTTATACATTGGTCCTAACTAGCTACATCCTGGTCCTTATCAGTTATACCTTGGTCCTTATTAATTATATCCTGGTCCTTACCTGTTATACCTTGGTCCTTACCAGTTATACATTGGTCCTAACTAGCTACATCCTGGTCCTTATCAGTTATACCTTGGTCCTTATTAATTATATCCTGGTCCTTACCTGTTATACCTTGGTCCTTACCAGTTATACATTGGTCCTAACTAGCTACATCCTGGTCCTTATCAGTTATACCTTGGTCCTTATTAATTATATCCTGGTCCTTACCTGTTATACCTTGGTCCTTACCAGTTATACATTGGTCCTAACTAGCTACATCCTGGTCCTTATCAGTTATACTTTGGTCCTTATTAATTATATCCTAGTCTATACCTGTTATACCTTGGTCCTTACTAACTATATCCTGGTCTTAACCAGTTATTTGGTCCTCAGTATTTGTACCTTGGTCCTTATTAGTTATACATTCGTCCTTACTAATTATATCATAGTCCTTACCAGTTATACCTTGGTCCTAACTAGCTACAATGTATATCCAAGTCCTTACGCGCAGTACATTGGACCTTACTTATTATACAATTGTCCTTACCAGTTAAACATTTGTCCTTACCTGTTATACATCGGTCCTTACCTGTTATACATCGGTCCTTACCTGTTATACATCAGTCTTTACTAGCTATATCCTGGTCCTTATCAGCTATAACTTGGTCATTACTTACTATATCCTGGTCCTTATAAGTTATACATTAGTCCTTACTAATTATATCCTGGTCCTTATTAGTTATACATTGGTCCTAGCTAGCTACATCCTGGTCCTTATCAGTTATACCTAGGTCCTTACCATTTATACCTTGGTCCTTACTACATGTAATTATATCCTGGTCCTTACCAGTTATACCTTGGTCCTTACCTGTTATACCTTGGTCCTAACTAACTCTATTCTGGTCCTTACCAGTTATATGTTTGTCCTCAGTAATTAAATACCTGTCCTAACCAGTTATACCTTGGTCCTTACCAGTTAAACTTTGGTCCTCAGTAATTATATCCTGGTCCTTACCAGTTATACATTGGTCCTTACCAGTTATACCTTGGTCCTTACCAGTTACACATTGGTCCTTACCAGTTATACCTTGGTCCTTACCAATTATACATCGGTCCTCGCCTGTTATACATCGGTCCTTACCTATTATTCTTTTGTCCTCAATAATGATGTCCTAGTCCTTACCAGTTATACCTTGGTCCTTACCTGTTATACCACGGTCTTTACTAATTTTATTCTGGTCCTTACCCGCTATACCTTGGTCCTTACTAATCATATCCAGGTCCTTGTGTGTAATACCCTGGTCCTTACTACATGTCCACTGTTTTTAAACATTGATTTTTGTTAAATTGAGCTTCACTAGCTATATTGTGGTCCTTACTTGTTTTTTGTTGTGTGGAAATGTCGTAAAATGGGTTATACATGTATTAAAGAAGTTCCAGGATTGTAGAATAACCAAAGCGGAACGACTCTTCGATTTCATCAAATCGATAAAATCTCGGTACAGATCTAGCAAAGTAAAGAGTGATTTATGTTAAGAATAAATCTTTATTTATTGATATAAACTTTCGTTGTTACTTTGCTATAGACACGTCTCATGCATAATAAAATACCACTTTTATTTTTACTGCTTACGATCTCCAGAAAATCAATAAATTCAAATTAGCCACTGGCAGCTTTCAATTTATAATCTATGAGACTATGGTGATAATTTCACTATGTGTTTTACGGAAATCAAAGATTTATCGCGCGAAGACCATTTATGTGTCAAAATCAATTGATTAGTGGAAATGGAGGTTAAAAGATTTACAAGAGCACAAAGTTCAGTAATATACATGTGTTCAGTAATATACATGTGCAAAAATTGTATCAAAATAAGATGAACCTGAACTGTGAAAGCGGACAAGGTGTTTCTGTGTTAACTGGTAACGCTTGGTTTAGGTTGGTTGGTTGTACAAGGTTTAACGAACAATCAACAGCTAAGGTCATTTAGGGACGTAATTGTTATAGGGATTGACTCTAGATCTCTTTGCACGTATGATTCAATTCATGGCAGAAGACTCAGACTTGCAAGGGATTCAGAATGGTTATTAACAGTCGCAAAACCAGGTGATAATTGTCACAAAATTATACACAACAACCTAATTTTATTATATGGATATATCTTCATATCATTAATCTCACCACAAACACCAAATCGCGAAAGATGTCGACAACATTTTGAGAATATTCGTGTTCACATTTTAATGTATACAGATAGGCAAATAGAACATAATAGGTCCCTGTTTATACAGATAGGCAAATAGAACATAATAGGTCCCTGTTTTGGCCGGCATAAAACGTGTACAGCCACAAAGGACGAGAAATGCAACAGTGTCAAAACTGTTGGAGCTGATGATATAGCCATAGACTTGGACTAGCCCCCGGTCTTATAGAATATTCCTTTTCTATTTCACAAATCCTTCTTTTTAACAAAATGTTAATAATTATCTGCATTTTTATAATTCATTGAGAAAATCCTTGGAAAATAATTTCCCGTTGCAGTTAGAAATTACTAACATAAAAATTACAGCCAAGGAGTACAGACGATACACACGCTGCTTATGTCAACAAAGTCTCCTTGAAATGTAGAATTATGCTTGTTTATTATTTCTGGCTAGTGGAATAAAGGGGGAGAACTCATTTGTTTTCTTCGGGGCAAAAGGCTGAAACCTTCTCTGCATGTTTAGCCTGAAAATCACATCATCAATCCACTGACTACTGACTGGTGCCCTCTCGTTAGACATTTAGTCTTAAGCAGCACACAATTGTTTTTTTTGCATATTGTTGAATGAGACTGTAAAATATTTGGCATTAATCGGAAGTGCTCATAACCCTTATCACGTTTCTAAAACCCTGTCGGATCCGGAGAGAAAACGAGTTTTGAAAACTGAGTATTGTGGTTATATTTAGAGGCAGACGAACACAATGTACCACATAAAATTCTAACGCAGAACCTTAAAACCACAGGATACATATCACATGTCATATAACACTGTACCGAAACAGGATAACTTGAAAGGAAACAATCAAATTCATTTCAGTAACCTCAGAAGTGCTTAAAAGATTTTAACAAAACGAAAATCTTGTAAACTTTTAAAAAACTGCAGTATTTTTCAAATCTTTAATAAATACTTTCTATGGGTTTTTTTTTATAATAAGAAAATTGAATTCTGGAGGGAGACTCAACTCTTTATCTTCCAATAGCACTGTATATTCGTTCACTAAACATGGCGCACAAACACTCGAGACAGTCCATTCGGTGCTCGCACGCTCTTTCCAGCTGTGGTTGTGACCGTGTTATCACGATCCGTGGACACAAGCGTGAGACGTGGACGTGCCTGGACGGAGTTCACTCTTACTGGTCTCATTCCTCGGTACCATAGCCGAGTAACGCTGCCCCTGTAGTCTTCGTTAAAGGCGATGAACACTAGAGGATTGACAAAGTTGGGTAGGAAGAGTAGGCAGTACCCCACAAAATCCTGTGTATATGTGATAGTAGCTCTGTCGGTGTCCAGGCTCAGTGCAGACAACACGGAATAGGGAGCCCAACACAGACATATGGTGCCTGGAACACAAGACAGAATGGTAAAGGATGGGATGTCTGGAGCAGGAAGGAAGATGCTACAAGGTGGATGACATCTGCAACGGTGGTGGGGGGTTAGGTTTGGTCTGGAACAGACAGGGAGCATGATGGAAAGACATAATAATTTTAGACCGATTTAGCAATTAGGACGGGGATGGTTATCTTTCAGATATGACAAGGTGGCAATCTAGGGTCACCTAGAAGCCCAAGGACGGGGTGGCACGGTGAGAATATCCTGAACATATTGGACAGAGTGGTAAGTGTTCGTAATGGTTTCCTTGAACTTACAGGAGCGATTGGTTTATTAGGGATCGCATGAAGATGTAGTAAGAACACTGATCGTACTTCGGGGGATTGGACTACAGAACAGGGTTGATTAAAAGGAGATACGGCTACGGGATGGGTGGCAACAAGGTAACAATCTATGACGACGGGCTACAGTGCGGGCTGGTTACCTATTTACATGGGGATTGGACTAAAGGTCGGAGTTGGCTTCAAAGGGAATGGCTACAGGACGGGATGGGGGTTCAGGAAAGGGAAGTAATTATGGGAAAATGGGCTACAGGATGGATTGGTTACAAAGGGAATTGGGTTACAGGACGGGGAAGTCTTCTGGACCGATGGGGCTTCATGAAGGAAAATTAACATGCTTATAAAGTGGATATAACATCTCTTATTTAATAAGTCTAAATGGTGGTTAACATTCATATTTTAATATACAGCAGTTGACCTGTTTTTAAACATAAACATTTTTTGATAATGCTATTTACGATAGAACATGCAGACTTGTATCGACAATGGCCTTTAATATGTACCGTATTAACCTTTAGCGATGCTGACTCTGGTTTGAATATATATATCTTACCTATATTGATGATAACTATTTTGAATGTCTTGAGACAGGAAGCAACTGATCTTGTTCTGTCCACCAGTCGCCGTCGAGGGGGAGGAGTGTGGCCACGTATTGTTCGTATGTCATCATTGCCCCTATGACAAGGGTCAATTAACGACCGCGCCAACAACGCGATCTTCAAGTAACAAAATATAAGAAGGCAGAGCGGTACCATAACAGTCAGACACCACGTTGTGTAGGAAAACGCCCTTGAGGTAATCCACGTGATTCCGCAGATCTGAAGACTTCTCGGCTGGAAACAGATGCTGATACCTCCCCACCCTAAACATGGCGGGACAGAAAACATGATCCCGATACACCAGGTTGACATGACCATTGCAAGGCTCTTGCGGAAGTCCATAGTTAGCGAGTGTGTGAATGGCCGGAAGATGGTGAGGAATCTGTCCATACCAATCAGAGCTAGTGTCCAGTTAGTGGATATGGACGTCACCATGACAACTATCGGAGACGAGCGACATACGATGTCGGCTAGGACGAGGTGAGAGTAGACGATGGAATAGCACAGTATAGGTATGGGGTACACGGACGATAGGAGGTAGGCAGTCGACAGACTCAGGATGCATGCCTTCATCGATGTCGTCATCGATTTCGTCCTATGGACGACGTAGATCAGCAGGGCGCATGACGTCACACTCAGTATGATGATACACACAAGGAAAACTATCTGGATTCCCACTAATGTCGGTCTGACACATACCTCGGAGTGCGGGTAACAGTAGATGTCACGGGGATAGTCCTCCATGTCACATTTATTACTTCCGTTCATCGTCCCAAATATTCCATACAAATAGATCGGAAAGTATTCAGGGTTTCCGGTTGTTAACAGATCCCTTTATATTTGGTACAACATTTCACTATTTTGCCACATGCTTGGAATGATTAACTCTCAGTGACCATTTTGTCTATACCAATGACTGGCCGATGACTATTCCGTCTTAACTGTTGACAGAACCAGTGACAAGCCGGTGACCATCTCATCCAACACTGAATTGTCGGATGAAATCCTGACATTCAGATCAAGCCAATTTATTACAAAGTCTGCTATTGATAAATAATGCATATATTTTCATATTTAATGTATTAGATATATGTATCGTTGTCTTAATGGCGTTGAGAGTTATAGAGGGATTGCTGTATGTAATGCCGAACTCCCAGTGGAACTACTGGTACAATGCAGACGACAGTGGTCATATACATCAATCTACAGGTGTAACACAACCAGTAGACGTTGTCTAGCTAAGTGATTGTCTTTTTACCGTTGAAATCAATTTATACATTACATTTCGTTTCATATATATTGATAAAGAGCATCTAAATAAAACAAAATATTACAAAATGTATTATTTTAATTTATCGTTTTTCAGGACACGGATACACTTGTTTATATGTGTAGATGCTGCTTGCATTTTTCTAAAACTTTTCTCTTCTCATTATTTTAATGAGTATTGTTTGTCATCGCTAAGAGAGCAATCGTAATTACGTGTATAAATTGTTTAAACTCATTTTCATGTAACTTACATGTATACGACGTCCTTACTTTTTGTTTTGTGCTTGGTTTTTAGGTTATACGACATCGCCTGAAAAAGTCTAGCATTGAGAGAATAGCAAAATTAATATAATACGGGTATAAGCATTCATTTGAACTTGGCGACCATGGAAATTACCTCGATGAGAGAAAGGGTAATACAGTACATTTCAATAATAGACAATGGAATTTACCTGTGCATGTACATTGCACGAAGTCTTTGTAACTTTAACAACTCAAAATTCGATAAAATCGGCCTAGATGATTTGTCACGGGAGATCGAGAAATCGAGGCCCGGGTAGGGTACAGGTGAGTAAAAAACTGTCTTTCTCCGTAAGAGTCTTTCAGAAAATATTTTATGCAAAGTACATGTAAAATAGATTTTAGAAATCTGTCCAAAATCTGTCCAAAATCTAAAATTGTAAAAAAATCCTAATTTGTTTTAGGTATTTAAGTCTATAGAGTTTCGAAAAAATACTGACAACTAACACTTTTGAGGTGTTATATCAAAGCTGAGTGAATATACAATGAATATAAGTACTCGTCTTTTAATGATTCACCTTATATTACCCCTTCAGCTGAGAAAGAGATAGATGCGGTGCCCGTAAGAGAATGGAAATTATTTAAGGAACCCCCAGTGAGTCACGTGTACCTCCGTGAGTCACGTGACCAGATAGGATACCCATGTAGATTGTTATTGCCAGCAGCAGTAGCAGCTGGTTGACCTCGCACGACAAATGTCTGGGCTCATTTCTGTGGAAAGGAGTCCAAACCTGGATCAGAAATTACTCAAACAATGGTCGAATAATGCATCGGCGTCCCAAAGAACCGCTGCCACGGTAAGTCGTGTGTAAACTTTCTCTGAGTGAAAACAAAGATTGTTTGTGTACTTCCGGTTTTACATAAAACTCCCTAATTATCTATATGAGGGTAACACGAAAGTACACACATATCGATACCCCATTGTAAGGTATACATGTTGTGGTCTAAAGGTCAGTGTACACGGCCAGCTAACACGTAGGGGGATTGCTCATTTATGTTTACCAGGCCCACACGTGTGTGATGAGGGGAACAGCACAAGGAGGGGGGTGAACGATAACAGCATTTGTAACTGTGGACACTGTATACACGTGTATGTGTAGTGCATACGCGTACATTGTACTTAGGCACCTCGACTGGGGAGAACTGTGTACGTGTAGTTGAAAACCGTTTCTGAAGGATCACAACTATTTAATTTCGAAGGGATTTGTGTATACGACTGTTCGAGGATACATATTTATATATATATACATACGACTGGTAGGTGTTGGGACATCTACTTACATATTGTACGTGAACACACGAGAGTAAGAAATGTCAACGAGAGGAGATTGAAATATATTGACTGAGATGTATTCAATCAGTACTTATGAAATCATTGAATCCCGTTACATATCATGGTAGTGTAATGTTTTGTAGCACCATTATATAATCTACGGTACCTTATATGAATAACAACACACACTGTGACGTAAATATTACACCATGTCATTAATTCACGGCAATATTAAAGACAAACATCGTGACGCTTCTCTTTTCTAACTCTTGCAATGTGTACTGTATGAACAGAATCTTTTAAAACACGTTTCCATATCGCACGTGCATGAAACTCGCCAAAGATCTTTTCAGCATACAATTTCACATTTAATGTTATCTTGTTTAGGTTTTCATGGGATGTCCCGACTTTATGACTTCCGTTATTGAAAGAAAGCTTTCAGTTGCTATGATGTACAACCAGAATACACTGTAGACAACTACTTACATGTGTATGACTTCATTGTTGATATGAAGTGTCACATTAATACATACGAGTGTTAAATGATGACATTGCTGGTTATCAGGTAAATGAAGCGTCTATTTATAAGTGTTCAACTCTTTTAGGATCATGTGCGATATAGGGAAGTAAGATAAAATATGTATGGATAATTCAACCTGCAAATTATAATAATACATTATGTATTTTGAAAGCATAAATGAGTACTAATTAAATATTTGTATTTTTCAGAATAAAATGACACTTTGGCCACAGCGATCGCCACCTGTTTCCCGCCTGTTGTTGCGAGCCGGTGTAGTGATAAGCGGAGTTGCCTTTTTTTTCTTGTGTCTGACGTCATTGCGTGTTTCACAGAGTCAGGATACACAGCTCAAAAAGATTCATACCGTACTCCACCGACCCGTGTCGCAGGCATGTGTTGGCGGAAAATGCTTCTCACAAACCTCGATGGACGAACAATATGCACAATATTTTATTCCTAGAAAAGAAAAAGTGAATCCTTTTCCGTTAAAATATGTAGTTCCAGGTTCATCGATATGTTTAAAGGGAGCCCCCGTATACTTGGTCATTCTCGTGCCATCTATACAAACACACGTGGAAGAACGTCGTGCAATACGTAATTCATGGGGAAGTGTTGCCAGGGGAAACCACTGGCCCCGGCATCATGTCAACACAACCGTTAAACTAGTGTTTTTGTTTGGTAAGGATCCTGCCATGAAAAACAACAGAGTTGCACAGTTAGAGAGCGAGATGTACGGTGATGTCGTGCAGGGAGATTTTGTAGATACGTATGCAAACTTGACACGGAAGATGCTGATGGGTCTTAACTGGGTATCGAGTTATTGTACCGACGCTGAATACGTACTGAAGGCGGACGAGGATACCTTCGTACACATCCCTAAACTCGTGAGCGTCCTGGCTAGAACGCGACACCCTGCCTACCGGGGAGTTGTACTAGGACACGTGAATGTGGGCGGCATTGTAAAACGTGTAGGGAGGTGGAAGGTGGAACAAGAAGATTACCCGTTTCCACATTACCCTCCATACGTTTCCGGTAACACATACGTCATTTCCTCTAACATCGCAGCGTCCTTATTCAGGGCGTCAGAATACTTCCCGTACATCCCCATTGAAGATGCCTACATCACGGGTATTTTAGCTAAGGCGGTCACTGCGGAGGTTATTGACGTGCCAGGGTTCACGTTCTACCTAGACAGACCGCCTCATGCCTGTGATTACCTACAGGACAGTCGAATCTCCTCCACAAAAGTCAGCTCTCACTTGAAGATCTATATATGGGAAAAACTCCTGTCGAATTCGCTCAATTGTAAGAGAAAACTATACACAGAAAATGAGGAGACACAGTAAAGGAGGAAACAGATAGAATGCAATCACTGACAGTGAACATTAAGATAGAGAAGACAAGTGATGATAGTGAGAAGATTTTATGATATGATGGTGACGCAATACGACAGAGTGAAGACGTTATAGAAGTGAGGAGACACGATATGGTAGTGAGGTGATAGTATGTTTTGGTAGTGAGGAGAAACGTTATGATAGTGTGGAGACACGTTATGGTTGTGAGGTGACAAGTTATGGTAGTGATGTGACACGATATGGTAGTGAGATGATAGTACGTTATGGTATTGTGGTGGCACGTTATGATAGTGTGGAGACACGTTATGGTTGTGAGGTGACACGTTATTGTAGTGAGGAAACACGTTATGGTAGTGAGGTGACACGATATGGTAGTGATGTGACACGTTATTGTAGTGAGGTGACACGATATGGTAGTGTGGAGACACGTTATGGTTGTGAGGAGACACGTTATTGTAGTGAAGAGACACGTTATGGTAGTGTGGAGACACGTGATGGTAGTGTGGTGACACGTTATGGTAGTGATGTGACACGTTATGGTAGTGATGTGACACGTTATGGTTGTGAGGTGACACGTTATTGTAGTGAAGAGACACGTTATGGTAGTGTGGAGACACGTTATGGTAGTGAGGTGACACGTTATGGTAGTGTGGAGACACGTGATGGTAGTGTGGTGACACGTTATGGTAGTGAGGTGACACGTTATGGTAGTGATGTGACACGTTATGATATTGAGGAGACACGTTATGGTAGTGAGGTGACACGTTATGGTAGTGAGATGATGGTACGTTATAATATTGAGGAGACACGTTATGGTAGTGTGGAGACACGTTATGGTTGTGAGGTGACACGTTATTGTAGTGAAGAGACACGTTATGATATTGAGGAGACACGTTATGGTAGTGTGGAGACACGTTATGGTAGTGTGGAGACACGTTATGGTTGTGAGGTGACACGTTATTGTAGTGGAGAGACACGTTATGATATTGAGGAGACACGTTATGGTAGTGAGGTGACACGATATGGTAGTGTGGAGACACGTTATGGTAGTGAGGAGACACGATATGGTAGTGAGGTGACACGTTATGGTAGTGAGATGATGGTACGTTATAATAGTAAGGTGACACGTTATGAAAGTGAAGAGACATGTTATGATAGTGAGGAGACATGTTATAATAGTGAGGGGACAATTTATGTTATAAAGGAGACACGTTATGGTAGCGAGGAGACACGTTTTGGTAGTTAGGAGACAAGTTATGGTAGTGAGGAGACAAGTTATGATAGGCAGGATACATGTTATGGTAGCGAGGTGACACGTTATGGTTGTGAGGAGACACGTTTTGGTAGTGAGATGACACGTTATGGTAGCGAGGTGACACGTTATGGTTGTGAGGAGACACGTTTTGGTAGTGAGATGACATGTTATGGTTGTGAGATGACACGTTATGGTTGTGAGGAGACATGTTTTGGTAGTGAGATGACACGTTATGGTTGTGAGGAGACATGTTTTGGTAGTGAGGAGACACGTTATGGTAGTGAGGAGACACGTTATGGTAGTGAGAAGACGCGTTATGGTAGTGAGAAGACGCGTTATGGTAGTGAGATGACACGTTATGGTAGCGAGGTGACACGTTATGGTAGTGAGGAGACACGTTATGGTAGTGAGGAGAGAAGTTTTGGTAGTGAGGAGAGAAGTTTTGGTTGTGAGATGACACGTTATGGTTGTGNAGTGTGGAGACGCGTTATGGTAGTGAGGAGACACGTTATGGTAGTGAGGAGACACGTTATGGTAGTGAGGAGAGAAGTTTTGGTAGTGAGGAGAGAAGTTTTGGTTGTGAGATGACACGTTATGGTTGTGAGGAGACATGTTTTGGTAGGGAGATGACACGTTATGGTTGTGAGGAGACACGTTATGGTTGTGAGGAGACACGTTTTGGTAGTGAGATGACACGTTATGGTAGTGAGATGACACGTTATGGTTGTGAGGAGACATGTTTTGGTAGTGAGATGACATGTTTTGGTAGCGAGGTGACACGTTATGGTTGTGAGGAGACATGTTTTGGTAGTGAGATGACACGTTATGGTTGTGAGATGACATGTTATGGTAGTGAGGAGACAAGTTATGATAGGCAGGATGCATGTTTTGGTAGTGAGATGACACGTTATGGTTGTGAGGAGACACGTTTTGGTAGTGAGATGACACGTTATGGTAGTGAGATGACACGTTATGGTAGTGAGATGACACGTTATGGTTGTGAGATGACATGTTATGGTAGTGTGGTGACAAGTTATGATAGGCAGGATACATGTTATGGTAGCGAGGAGACAAGTTATGGTAGTGAGGAGACACGATATGGTAGTGAGGAGACAAGTTATGGTAGTGAGGAGAGAATTTGGTAGTGAGAAGACATGTTATGGTGGTAGTGAGGAGAGAAGTTGTGGTTGTGAGATGACACGTTATGGTTGTGCGAGACAAGTTATGATATAAAGGAGCCACGTTATGGTAGTTTGGTGACACGTTATCGTAGTGAGGAAACATGTTGCGGTAGTGAGTTGATACAATATGATAGAGAAAAAAGGTGTTATAAAAGCGAAGTGAAATGTTATGGTTGAGAGAGGACACGTTATGGTTGTGAGGGGGCAAATTATGAAACAAAGGAGAAACAATATGATATTGACGAGACATGTTATGGCAGTGAGGAGACACGCTATGGTAGTGAGATGACACGTTTTGGTAGTGATAGTGTGGAGACACGTTATGGTTGTGAGGTGACAAGTTATGGTAGTGAGATGACACGTTTTGGTAGTGAGATGACAAGTTATGGTAGTGAGATGACACGCTATGGTAGTGAGATTGCACGTTTTGGTAGTCAGATGACACGTTTTGGTAGTGAGGAGACACGTTTTGGTAGTGGGATGACACGCTATGGTGACACGTTATGGTAGTTAGGTGACACGATATGGTAGTGTGGAGAAACGTGAAGGTAGTGTGGAGACCTGTTATGGTAGTGTGGAGACAAGTTATGGTAGTGAGATGACACGCTATGGTAGTGAGGAGACATGTTATGGTAGTGAGATGACACGCTATGGTAGTGAGATGACACGTTTTGGTAGGGAGGAGACACGTTTTGGTAGTGAGATGACAAGTTATGGTAGTGAGATGACACGCTATGGTAGTGAGGAGACACGTTATGGTAGTGGAGGAGACACGATATGGTAGTGTGGAGACACGTTATGGTAGTGAGGTGACACGTTATGAAAGTGAAGAGACATGTTATGATAGTGAGGAGACATGTTATGGTAGTGAGATGACACTATGGTAGCGAGGAGACACGTTTTGTTAGTTAGGAGACAAGTTATGGTAGTGAGGAGAGAAGTTTTGGTTGTGAGATGACACATTATGGTAGTGTGGAGACATGTTATGGGAGTGAGGAGACAAGTTATGGTAGTGAGGAGACAGTTATGGTAGTGAGGAGACAGTTATGGTAGTGAGGAGACAAGTTATGATAGTGAGGAGACATGTTATGGTAGTGAGGAGACACGTTATGGTAGTGTGGAGACACGTTATGGTAGTGTGGATACACGTTATGGTAGTGTGAGATGACACGTTTTGGTATTGAGGAGACACGTTTTGGTAGTGAGATGACATGTTATGGTAGTGTGGTGACACGTTATGGTAGTGAGGTGACACGTTATGGTAGTGAGGTGACACGTTATGGTAGTGAGATGACAAGCTATGGTAGTGAGGAGACACGATATGGTAGTGTGGAGACACGTTATGGCAGTGTGGAGACACGTTATGGTAGTGGAGGAGACAAGTTATGATAGTGAGGAGACATGTTATGGTAGCGAGGAGACACGTTATGGTATTGTGAGATGACATGTTATGGTAGGGCGATGACACGCTATGGTAGTCAGGCGACACGTTATGGTAGGGAGATGACACGTTATGGTAGTGAGATGACACGTTTTGGTAGTGAGGAGACACGTTATGGTAGTGGAGGAGACAAGTTATGATAGTGAAAAGAAAGGTACAATGATATAAACAACATTCCATTCGGTTAATTGTTCGTACACTGTACAATGATTTGATCAGAATTAAAGTGTCTGTTTGGTTTGTATTGAAGTTTTTGAGTGTTTTGATCATCTCTCTCCAGTTCACCTAAAGACTGGTTTTACAATAAACAAAGATGTGTCACGAATCTTGTTGAAGTAAACAATAAACAAAGATGTGTCACGAATCTTGTTGAAGTAAACAATAAACAAAGATGTGTCACGAATCTTGTTGAAGTAAACAATAAACAAAGATGTGTCACGAATCTTGTTGAAGTAAACAATAAACAAAGATGTGTCACGAATCTTGTTGAAGTAAACAATAAACAAAGATGTGTCACGAATCTTGTTGAAGTAAACAATAAACAAAGATGTGTCACGAATCTTGTTGAAGTAAACAATAAACAAAGATGTGTCACGAATCTTGTCGAAGTAAACGTTTTCCAAAGGTAGGGTCAACGCCTATGGAGATTTAACAATAGCGTCGGCCCCGCTTGGAATTTCAAAACAAGATAAATACAAAAACGTATGGGTATAGGAAGCTTAAATCAGGAACCGTTAGTTTCAAAATTCATTTTAGGATAAATGGGACCTCATTGACTTACACCAGTATGGGTGTTAAAGGTGCGGTAGTACAACTCCTTCTAGAGCATTTAAATGTCATGATTACTATAAAATTATATCATCATTGTGTGTAACATATTCCAACTGTTATTTTGATACCGAATATAACACTATTTCAAGAAAGAATTGTTCTTTTTATTAAAGATTTAAGCAGAAAAGTATGTGAAAATTCATTACTAATGTGAAAATTTACATTTTCGAAAGTTGGCTGCCCATAATATCTTTCAACATCAGGAATTTCAAGAAAATTGACCACCGGTAAATTTGTCATAACACTTTTGATTCAAAAAAGAAAAACATAGCTTTCTTTCCACTTTTCCTTTAACTTGTGTTTCTTCATGACCAAAGGATATTGGGTCTTGCTATTTGGCAAGTAGGTTGTTCATTTGATTGGATTTAAATTTTGTAAACGTTGATGACCTTGACCTTCCTTCAAGGTCACAAAAATGAAATTTGCTGAAATGAAATTCGTGTATGGGGAGTCTTAGAAGGATGCCTTTCCATGCTTTATTTGGCTAGAGTTCACGATATAAAATCATGTAATATTCCTCCTTATTTTGTTTAATAAACGGGCAATAGGCAAAATAAAATAAGAACTAGCGCTGTAAGCTAAAGACTAACTCATACCCCCGCTCCTATATAAACAAGAACTGTAAGCTAAATGTTAAC